CAGTAGATATGATATGTGGTAGGTGTGATGTCCTAGCAGTAGATTCGATATGTGAGCAAGTATATATTTGTATCTATTTGCCCGCTGGACTAGTTAAAGATCTTCTTAGGTGGAAATTACTGGCCAAGATTAAAAGGTAGAAGTTACTGGCCAAGATTAAAAGGTAGAAGTTACTGGCCAAGATTAAAAAGCAAAGTACTGGTTCTTCTTACAAGTGATACTCAAAAGTTCTTACCTGAAAATACAATATACTGGTCCCAAAATATCAAATACATTATTGTACATACATATACATTATTGTACATACATATACATTATTGTACATACATATACACTATTGTACATACATATACAGTATTGTACATACATATACATTATTGTACATACATATACATTATTGTACATACATATACACTCTGTCATGATGTGAGTTACCAGCACTGATATGAACTTGTATGTACATTTTCAGACATATGGACACATCCTTGATTGATGCTGATGTCCAGACCAACTATGTCCGAGTTACATTGAAGGGCAAGGTGAGTTGTGGACACGAGGCTGAGGTGATTGTGAAATTGCATCAAAATATAAGTTATGTACTATCTGAATATAAAACATGAAACTACATCATATTTTGATGGCGAAGTTTTCACAAAGATTTGTTGACAGGACAGGTATCAGGATAATATATCAAAATGCATATCAGTTTCTCCATTGTTACTTTATGATGCCCAATAATGGTGGCTATGATGCCCCTGCTTCCATGGCTACTGTTACATGTACTGATGGTTACTGTCTTTCATGCCCTACTGCCTGGTTAATGTATAAATCACATAGTAGGATGCATACTTTTTCTTACAGTTTTTCCAACTGTGTTTGGACGAGGAAGTGAATGCGGACTCCAGTACAGCAAAGCGGTCACAGATCACTGGTAACCTGCTGATCACTATGCCCAAGGTCAGTTTCCAAACCAAGACATGTATATCTGTATAGAATTGCCTCATCTTACCCCATACAAGAAAGAGTCTTTTTTTTCTCATCCTAAATGCCAGAATTTATGTAGAAACCATGCAAACGTGTTTGGACTGTCTACCTTTTTTGGACAAAAACAAACCAGACAGTGAGATTTCTGACTTAACCAATCTTATAATAAATCTGATCAAATCTCTCTGATTATACGTTTAATGAATTATGTTAATTAGCTTTCAATTTCATTATGTTGGAAGCTTCCGTATCACAGAATTGAAATTCTCCTGATTTTATGACATGATGTCATATTGTTCCCATGGTGACATCACCCACTAGACAAGAAAGGATTTATAAGATAGAAATTCACTACACCCCTATTATTCATGTAGAGGAATGGGAGATTTGTGATTAGTTCATGAAATATAATGTACACATACATGTTCTATCATATTTTAGACTATAAATGTTAATTTTAAAGCATAAAAGATGAAAGCACTTATTCCTGTTTGTAATAGATGACTGTAGAGTTAAACCACAATGTGTGGTCCTTGATGTATGGACATGGCGTGTAAATGCTCGAGGATTGCACCGACTTCATCTGCATCTGGACTGAGATGGTGATTGTGGATGGTCTGAGTAGAAATATGTAGTATATAATTTTGTTACTGAGTGAGTGAAAGGTACATGAAACACCTTTCAGATTAATAGAGTTCTCACTTTGAAAAATGTTGTACAGAACAGATTATTTACATTTTATAGGCAAAGCCTATGTTGACCGCCCCCAAACCAAAGACGACAGTTCAAGAGAAAAACAAAGAAAATAAAGAAAACAACAAAATGGATAAACAGTAAGTTTTATTCTTACCAAGGAGTTTATAATTATTATCTCTCTGCTCAATGTTACTTAATTACACCAATATTTTGTCTTAGTATAAATAAGGGCTATATCAAATCATGTGTGACCCTATTGCAACATAGACGATGCTTGGAATAGGGGTGAAAAATGTTGAATGAAGATAAAGAATTACACAGGTTTTGCATGCCCTATGAACCTCTTGTTTGTATAGTGGGTGATAACTCTTCATGATGATGATTTTGCTGTTTGAACATGACCTTTCTCAGTGTGCTATATCACATTTGGATATTACTTAATAGGAGCAGAACAAAGGAGGAGAAGTTGGAGGTGGACGCGTCGGTACACAAGACTGTAGATATAGCTGGTATCATGGAAAACAGTAAAAGAACTGTCCCGCCTCTCGGATCAAATGTCCGACGTCCGGCGGTGGAACGTCCAAACAGTGCAGACTTTGTTGACGATGCAGATGTTCCCCCTCTGATGTGATGTCCAACAACAGTGATGGAAGACCTCCATTGTGTAAATGTTTATCTCAGCAAATTGTGTTGATAAACAATAGGAACAGATAATAAATAAAGTCCGTAGATTTCCCCCCTGACTCTCTACAATGCTAGTGAATACTGTATACCAGGACATTTTTGTCTGGTTATATTTTTTCGCCTCTCCACAGTGAAATCCATTCTCGCCCAATATTAGATTTACATTTAAATTACTATTATTATACATGAATGTTATTTTTTCAAATGTTCCCTGTAATAATAAATTCCCCCCAATACAAAAAGGTGAAAATTAAACTGCAGCGACAATTTCCCGGTAAACTGCATTAACGGTCTAAAAAGGTGATTTTTAATGAGGGTTTTTTCTATATGAGATTAATGAAACAAAATTTCCTTTTAAGCTTTAGTCTGGTGAACTACAAGAAATTTCTGAGACCAGTACAAAACTCTCACAGGGAAAAAAATAAAAATCCTTTTTATAACATAAATAGATAGCACTGCACAATGTTGACCATCATTTGCAGAATAGTACCACTGTTTATGCTGTAAATTTAATAACTTTATTGAGAAAATGAAGATCCTGTGTGAAAGGGACCACCAACTATGTAAGACAAGAGAGACATATCAGTGAATTGTAACAAAAAAAGGAGAGCAGGGCATTGGAATATGTTGGCAGTAAGTGATGTAAAAATGAAATGACTGACATTATATTGACAGTTACTTTAAAAATATTCTTATAAAAGGAAGACATTGAACTTGGGCAACATGATTGGTGGATAGTAGCCTTAAACAAGATCATCATCACATCATAGAAATCCATATGAAATGATTACTATGTGTGTCATTTGAATAATTATTGTGAATATCATATGTTTGTATATAATGTGTTAGGGTATGTAAGGATGTTGAATGTTTGTGCCTATAAGTACACATGTACTAGATGTGTTGGACAATGTATGTATGATCAGTGTGAAGTATGTGTATAACAGATTAATAGAGTGGCATGTCTACAGTGTTGTATCATTTCAGATCTGTCCGTAAATATTGTACCGTGACACCTGCTCAGTTGATCATGAACCTCTCAGATCAGTAATTATATACTTCAAACTCTCCAGTTTTTAGACAGGAGTATTGTTATTTTCATGGTACATCCTTCGAGTGTATTACGGTATATATACATCAAATTAAAAAACATCACTATAAAGATACGGTGCAAGATTTGTGTACTATTTTATTAAGACAAAAAACTTGTTTGAATGTTGAGAACATATTTATTAAAAATTAAATATTGAAAACATAGCATTCGTATTTGATTTTTGTGAGAAAGTTCATTATGCAATGAGGCTATGAAGTTAATAACTGGATACCCTGAAATCTTGATAAGAAGCTTGATTCAAAAATAAGTTGACATTGAAGCAGTCTTGTATTTCTTGCATTCAAATATGTCTTGGATATAAGCCAACCTTGAAAATCTGCCTTCAATTTCTTGCAGTTGTTTTCATCACGAAAATAAGCCTGAACTCTACTAAAAACGAAAATAAGCCTGAACTCTACTAAAAACGAAAATAAGCCTGAACTCTACTAAAAACGAAAATAAGCCTGAACTCTACTAAAAACGAAAATAAGCCTTTGCATATTTTCAGGATTTTTGGGTATTAGGTAGATTCAGTTGATTGTAATACAAAGGTATATATCAAAGTTCATATACTCTTGTGCTTGTCTTGGTCAAATCTAATCAGTAAGAGATACAAGTACACTATCTGTCATCTCCTGACCAATGGATATACAAGATACAGAATACAGAATGAGAGAAAGTGGGCCATTACTTTTGATACAGTTGAAATCCCCACCCATTATATATACCAATACTTGACATCATTACACATATACAGTCATGCTACCAGAATTTGTCCTTGAGTCCATTACCATCCAACGGTTTGGGTCCAATTGGGAAATTGGATCATAACTCGGAAAAGGTAGAGATTTCCACTATATTACCATACATAAAATTGCTGGACATGAAGAGACTATTTCACTTTTGCCAACATAGTTTGTCTTGGGTTTTGTCCCAACTTAAGGGGTGGAGCCAATTGGGGAATTTGGATCATAACTTGGAAATGGTTGAGATCCCCACCTTTTTGTTGTATATTCCCATGTTCAACATCATTAAACAAATACATAAAAACAGTCATTCTACCAGAATTAGCTCAAGGGTCTGGAACCACCCTGGAGAATAAGTAAAGGGTAACATAAAAACAACTAAAATCCTGTCCCTAATAACCACATATATACCGATCTAAACCATTTATCCATGCTACCACAATTTGCCCTTGGATCTGTCCCTAACCCTGGGGCAAGGCCCAGTAAGAAAACTTGGGTCACATGATCAGAACACTTGAGATTCCCTCCATATAAACTTGTCTAAATGTGTTGAACATTGTGAGACAAAACATTCATCATGCAAGATTGGATCATCCCAGGGCCTGTCCCCATCCCAGGGGATTTAGTCCCCCGGTCATAGCATGAAAACGGATGTGATCACATTCTATAACCATATATACAATTGCTAGAGACGAATACATATAAATCCATAAATCATAACATGGACACACTGGAGATCCCAACCCAAAAATCACATACGCAATCATTAAGCATGGACAGATAAAAACAATCATGCTACCAGGAATAGCTCAGGGTTCTAGGACCGCCCTGGCTAATCAGTCCAAGGATGATAACGTGGAAACAGTTGAAATCTCTTCCCTATAAACACGTGTACAGATCTAAACCACAAGTATTATGAAGTATCCTTGACCTTGGAATAATTTGTTTGTAAAGGAGAAGAATAAAGTGACCCTGGGGGCTGAGCACGAAATGGGGGGATTTAAGGCTTTCAAGTAGTTGAAAGTGTACTCCTCCTAAACAGTTAATGCTGTTTCAAACAAATTTACAAAGGGAATCGAATGATGTGTGTTGTCCCCATGGTAATGAGAGACAGAACCAAAATGGCATTTGCAGTATTACCGGTTCATTTATTGAAATATTTAAGGAATGACATTTATTTTTTCAACATTTATGAGGACATAACATCATTGGGTTCCTGGACATATTCTATTAATTGCGCTATAGCGATTCATGGTTAATATGTCCAGAAACCCAATGTTATTACGACCTGATACACTTTAAAAATAATAAATTACATTCAGTTAGTATTCTCAATAAATGTTCCAGTAATACAAAATATTGTCAGCCTCATGAATTCTTTTAGTGATTCCTATATTTGTTAATAAAGAAAAGAAACCACTCTGTATTGACTTGCAAACAATACGATTAGACCTCTCTTCGCAGTTGCAAATGATTTTTTCTATTATAGTATGGTGCCCCCAGAACATCTGTTGATGTCCACTGTTATAGTATGGTGCCCCCAGATCATCTGTTGATGTCCACTGTTATAGTATGGTGCTTCCAGAACATCTGTTGATGTCCACTGTTATAGTAAGGTGTCCCCAGAACATCTGTTGATGTCCACTGTTATAGTAAGGTGCCCACAGAACATCTGTTGATGTCCACTGTTATAGTAAGGTGCCCACAGAACATCTGTTGATGTCCACTGTTATAGTATGGTGCCCCCAGATCATCTGTTGATGTCCACTGTTATAGTATGGTCCCCCCAGAACATCTGTTGATTTCCACTGTTATAGTATGGTGCCCCCAGAACATCTGTTGATGACCACTGTTATAGTAAGGTGCCCCCAGAACATCTGTTGATCTCCACTGTTTTAGTATGGTGCCCCCAGAATATCTGTTGATGTCCACTGTTATAGTATGGTGCCACCAGAACATCTGTTGTTGTCAACTGTTTTAGTATGGTGCCCCCAGAACATCTGTTGATGACCACTGTTATAGTAAGGTGCCCCCAGAACATCTGTTGATCTCCACTGTTTTAGTATGGTGCCCCCAGAATATCTGTTGATGTCCACTGTTATAGTATGGTGCTTCCAGAACATCTGTTGATGTCCACTGTTATAGTATGGTGCCCCCAGATCATCTGTTGATGTCCACTGTTATAGTATGGTGCCCCCAGATCATCTGTTGATGTCCACTGTTATAGTATGGTGCCCCCAGATCATCTGTTGATGTCCACTGTTATAGTATGGTCCCCCCAGAACATTGTCAACTGTTTTAGTATGGTGCCCCCAGAATATCTGTTGATGTCCACTGTTATAGTATGGTCCCCCCAGAACATCTGTTGATGTCCACAGTTTTAGTATGGTGCCCCCAGAACATCTGTTGTTTTCCACTGTTTTAGTATGGTGCCCCCAGAATATCTGTTGATGTCCACTGTTTTAGTATGGTGCCCCCAGCACATCTATTGTTGTCCACTGTTATAGTATGGTGCCCCCAGATCATCTGTTGATGTCCACTGTTATAGTATGGTGCCTCCGGAACATCTGTTGTTGTCCACTGTTTTAGTATGGTCCCCCAGAACATCTGTTGATGTCCACTGTTTTAGTAAGGTGCCCCCAGAATATCTGTTGATGTCTACTGTTATAGTATGGTACCCCCAGAACATCTGTTGTTGTCCACTGTTATAGTTAGTGCCCCCAGAATATCTGTTGATGTCTACTGTTATAGTATGGTACCCCCAGAACATCTGTTGTTGTCCACTGTTATAGTAAGGTGCCCCCAGAACATCTGTTGTTGTCCACTGTTATAGTATGGTGCCCCCAGAATATCTGTTGATGTCTACTGTTATAGTCTGGTCCCCCCAGAACATCTGTTGTTGTCCACTGTTATAGTTAGTGCCCCCAGAATATCTGTTGATGTCTACTGTTATAGTATGGTACCCCCAGAACATCTGTTGTTGTCCACTGTTATAGTATGGTGCCCCCAGATCATCTGTTGATGTCCACTGTTATAGTATGGTGCTTCCAGAACATCTGTTGATGTCCACTGTTATAGTAAGGTGTCCCCAGAACATCTGTTGATGTCCACTGTTTTAGTAAGGTGCCCCCAGAATATCTGTTGATGTCTACTGTTATAGTCTGGTCCCCCCAGAACATCTGTTGTTGTCCTCAGTTTTAGTATGGTGCCCCCAGAACATCTGTTGTTGTCAACTGTTTTAGTATGGTGCCCCCAGAATATCTGTTGATGTCCACTACTGTTATAGTATGGTCCCCCCAGAACATCTGTTATTGTCCACAGTTTTAGTATGGTGCCCCCAGAACATCTGTTGATGACCACTGTTATAGTATGGTGCCCCCAGAACATCTGTTGTTGTCCACTGTTATAGTATGGTGCCCCCAGAACATCTGTTGTTGTCAACTGTTTTAGTATGGTGCCCCCAGAATATCTGTTGATGTCTACTGTTATAGTATGGTCCCCCCAGAACATCTGTTGTTGTCCACAGTTTTAGTATGGTGCCCCCAGAACATCTGTTGATGTCCACTGTTTTAGTATGGTGCCCCCAGAATATCTGTTGATGTCTACTGTTATAGTATTGTCCCCCCAGAACATCTGTTGTTGTCCACTGTTTTAGTATGGTGCCCCCAGCACATCTGTTGATGTCCACTGTTATAGTATGGTGCTCCCAGAACATCTGTTGATGTCCACTGTCATAGTATGGTGCCCCCAGAACATCTGTTGTTGTCCACTGTTATAGTTAGTGCCCCCAGAATATCTGTTGATGTCTACTGTTATAGTATGGTCCCCCCAGAACATCTGTTGTTGTCCACTGTTTTAGTATGGTGCCCCCAGAACATCTGTTGTTGTCCACCGTTATAGTATGGTGCCCCCAGAACATCTGTTGTTGTCCACTGTGATAGTTAGTGCCCCCAGAATATCTGTTGATGTCTACTGTTATAGTATGGGCCCCCCAGAACATCTGTTGATGTCCACTGTTATAGTATGGTGCTCCCAGAACATCTGTTGATGTCCACTGTTATAGTATGGTTCCCCCAGAACATCTGTTGTTGTCCACTGTTTTGGTATGGTGCCCCCAGAATATCTGTTGATGTCCACTGTTTTAGTATGGTGCCCCCAGAACATCTGTTGTTGTCCACTGTTATAGTTAGTGCCTCCAGAATATCTGTTGATGTCTACTGTTATAGTATGGTCCCCCCAGAACATCTGGTGTTGTCCACTGTTTTAGTATGGTGCCCCCAGAACATCTGTTGTTGGCCACTGTTATAGTATGGTGCCCCCAGAACATCTGTTGTTGTCCACCGTTATAGTATGGTGCCCCCAGAACATCTGTTGATGTCCACTGTTTTAGAATGGTGCCCCCAGAATATCTGTTGATGTCCACTGTTTTAGTATG